CCTCACGTTGTCCAAAACAATGAAGATCCTGGAAGAATCTTGATTAACAGGCACTTGAAAAGAGCTGAGCTAAGAACTCCTCAAATCGTCCAAAACAGTGAAGATCCTGAAAGAGATTCAATTAATGRTCACATCAATAGAGCTGAGCTAAGAACTCCTCAAATCGTCCAAAACAACGAGGACCCAGAAAGAGGTTCAATTAATGCACCCAATACAACAAATGAGAACAAACAACAGCGTGGTGTTCACCTTATGGAGTGGCTAGAACGGGCGGATTCTGGAGTATGGTCGGCTAATAGGAAGGGCGAGTCTCTATTGTATCTGGCTTCACGGCAAGGATTGCAAAGCGTAGTTGGTTATGCGTTGGGAAGATTAACTGCTCCATCTCCTAATCATGGTGGACCTAATGGACACACAGCTCTGGACACCGCTGTTATGGGCAGGCATTCAGGAAAATATTTGAAAGTTTAGGGGATGTTATTTAGTGTGAATCACCACATTCATAATGGCATTCTCTAGGTGTGGTGTAGACCACACTTTTTGATTATATATATTTCATATACATTTTATAGGAGATTTATAAAATTAATCATAAATGTCTAATTTTTGCATTTTATATGATAAATAAATTGAAAAAATCATCAATATGTAGACAACAATTGCATTTTTAAATAATTAAAAAATATTATTTTAAAAATTAATTAAAAAATAAAAATTAATATTTTAAATATGATTTTATTAATAAAAATATTAAAAGTTAATATTTAAATAATGAAAATAAGAGTTGAGAAATAGACCGTTGGACTTGTGCTAGAATTAATATTAAAAATTATTATTTTATTGATAAAATATTAAAAATTAAAAAATAAAAAATTATTAAAATATTAAATAAAATGAGAATAATTGGACCAATGTAATACAAGTGTATGACACTGAAACCTTTCTATAAACTATCCACACCATAGTATGGACCATCCATGAAAAATACTATAAACGATAAATTTGGATGTGCCCCATCCCTGTCTACGTTATTTTGTGGACGGGAATTATTAACACATAGTAGAATACCATATCTTATCATGGATTAGACCAAAATGATCTCATCCATGATATTTACATACTACTGAATACACCTTAATTTTTACTAGATATTTGGCACAGTGACTTCCAGAATAAGAATAAATGTCTTGGACTGATTCAATTTTAAATAGTTATATTTAAAAAAAATAGAGTGGTCTTATTTAAATATGTTTCTCTTCCTACGTGTCAAACAAGAATGAATAATTGTGCGTCGGATTCTACATACATCTCAATTGCTTTCTCCATTTATAAGATGAAAAAGTTTGCATTAAGAAAGGACCACAGTATCATATACACACCGGCTTTGTCAAGCAAAATCAAAGTGAAAAAAGCCTTATAATATTTCCAATTGGACGAAGATGGTCCGTGTTAAACCTAAATATTATTTTGGGTTATGTCTAAAGAGTTTGATCGTAATCAGCTACTCACTTGCCATTAATATTAATTGCTCCACCTTATGTTACTTCATCCACGTCAAGGTGGAGCCATATCAATATAATGGAGGCCATGATTTACGGTTTTAGCCCAAGACTACTCCAATGGTAATAGTTGATATTTAAGACCCTTAATCAGGGTTAGAAATGGCAACGGAGCAGGGCAGGCCATCCAAAAATCTCTGTCGCCATCGACAGGGGTAGGGTTATCCTTATCCCAGTCCCCAAAGGGATCATCATCAATGGGGATCTCCACTCCCCGTGATTTTTTGTGATGTCAAATAATATTTTGTTTTTGTTTTTTATTTTAATTTAAAATGTAAAAAATAAATGATTACAATTTACAATCCTATTAAAGTAGATCCAAATACGCTATTAAAATAATTTTCAATAAGAATTTCTATTTCATTTAATTTTCATAACCGCTGATAATTTTCTCTGTGTCATCAAATTTTTACTAACAACAATTTTCAATAATTTAATACAAGAGTTCCCTGTTAAATAATGATGTTAATTAACAAAAATTTTCATTTCAAGAAATTTCATATGAGAATTACTGTTTTATCTAGAATTCTATGTTTTATAGAATTAACAGTTATTAAACATTAATACCTGGTAATCTATTTTATGGATGTCTCCGAAGAGACAGTTTTCTTTATTCCTGGCAATCTAATTATAATTTACAGTATTTTTTAGTATTTTTCAATAATTTTTAGGTTACAATAATTTCAATAATTGCAACAATTATCAACAATTTTCAATTAACAAACCAAAATTTAATAATGAACTGAGATTAAACCGATCTATCAGCAAGCTGAATCAGCCACGTCAATTAAGTTATTCAAGTGAGACGCATTAGCTGCACCAACTCAAAATAATAGCTTTGTTATAAAGTCTACCAAGCAAAGAGTCTATAGTAGATCCAAACTCAAAAAATAGCTTCATTAATGTGAAAGAATGGGAATTAATTAATAACTTGAATATAAGGATGTGAGTAAAGGTGTTAATTGGACTGAATTTGGTTCAATCCAGTCCATTACAAATAGACCTGCTCCAATCCAGTCCAATAAATATTTTGGACCATTTTGGACCGGTCCAGAGACTGTCCAATCTGTTCATATTCCTGTTAATTTAGATTGGTTTCAACTCAAACTTGGTCCACTGACGCCAACGTTCTTATCTTGTATCAATGGACTAGATATTGGCTCAATCCGATATAAATTCATTATGGACAGACCAGGTCCAATCCAATATGTCATATTGGTCCATCCAGTCCATCCAAATTCAATGTCATATTGGTCCATCCAGTCCGTCCAAATTCAATATGTCATATTGGTCCATCCAATCTGTCTAAATGGATTTTGATTTGGACAGTCCAACCCAAAACCAGCCCATTGACACCCCTAAATGTGAGCAAGAAAAACTGAAAAATCGAACCGAACCAAAAAATGGTCGAAACTGAACTGAAAATCCAGTTAACTGCACCAGTCAGTTTGGTTTTGGGTTTGGTATTTTTAAAAAAGTGAAGGTATTGGTTCGGTTTCAGTTAACCAATATAGAAAACCAGTGGTTAACCGAACTCACCAGTAAACATATATTTGTATATATTTTATGTATATGATGTTATATATATATATATATATATATATATATATATTCTCTATATATTATAAATTAATAAATATGCATTATATATAAATATATATTTTTAACATATAATATTATTTATCATTTAAAATATAATATTATATATATATATATATATTTCTAGTCTTTTATTATATATTTATATATTTTTTATAATATGTATTGTAATTATAAAAACATCAATGAACCAAACCAATGGTTAATCGATTGGCTTCAGTTTGATTTCAGTTACCAGTTTTCTAAAAACAAATAGTCTAATACAGTTTCAAAAATAAGCCCACGGCTCAGTTAATAGAACCGTGAACACCTCTAATGAGAAGTTCTAATTCAAAACTTCGAATTAAATTTTATGCCCTCACAATTAGAAAGGCATGAAAAAAAAAAAGATAAAGTGTTTTCATTAAAAATAGGATTCAACAAAAGATTATGGGAGTTAATATATACTTTAATAAAAGCTTAAAGAGTAGGAAGCCATGCGATGCATGGAAAAACTCAATATCCAATATTATGGAAAATGGGTTAAAAAGAGATGTATACATTACGTGAATAGCACCTGGAATAATTTCTCTTAATAAGTTAACTGTAAATTTATAGCAAAATTTCTCTTAATAATTCTTTTAATTCAAATAAAGTTACTGTTAATTCAAATAAATCTACTTTGTTAAGTCCAATAAATTAATTTAGTTAATTTTGGTTTAATAAGGGTAATATTTTTAATTATAAAAAACTACTCTTAATTAACAGAATTTCTATTAGTAATTGGATAAAGAAATTGATTAATAGTAAATTAGAGAGATTTCTTGAACGCGCTCTCTGAACGTGAGAAGCAATATAATTTATATAAAGAATTGCTGTTCAAGAATTTACATATTTACAAAGATTAAAAATAATAGAAAGAGAAGAAAAACAAGTAAGATTTCTTTCTAATTCATGATTCAACTAGAGAGATCACTTTCTATTTCGGTGAGTGTGCAATCTTTGGAATCTTTCATGGGCTTCTCCAATCTCCCATTGATTCGACCTGCCTTCAACCAATCTTAAGCTGGTTGATCTGATTCGTACCCCGTGAAAGTAGTTAAAAAGGTCGCCCCTTAATTAACAAGCAGCAATCTAGCTATATATATATAACAAGCAGCAATCTAGTTATATATAGCAATCTAGCTATATATAACAAGCAGCAATCTAGCCATATAGCTCACATGTGCCTCTCCTCTTATTCTCCTTGTGTATATTTATTTTTAAATGAGATTATTAAAAAATATAATAACGCCAAATTAAAACCATCATACATCTTCGTTGTCTCTCAAAAAACCCATATTTAATTACTCTCTAATATGATCATTCTTCTCTCTCAAAAAACCCATATTTAATTGTCTCTCAATATTTGTAACATCTCTCCCTCCCCATTAAATCCCTCCTTTCCTCTTAAGTCTCTTTTAATCCCTTTTGGCTCTCTTTAGTAAATTAGGTGTACGACTGTACATGTAAATTAGATGGATTGGATAAGGTTAATCGTCAACCTAAATATGAACCCTAGCTTGGACCAAACTAATGTCAAAACCTAAACTTGTCCACCAATACATGGGGTAACCAATTTTCTTCTTATATAAATGTCTAAAATAACCATTTCTCCTTTCGATCCATGGGTTATTAGGTTTTTGTTTATTTTTTTATTAATCTAGTGTAAATTTGTTTCATAGATTCTCCTGATTCAACAATAAAATACAATAAGAAAGCACTTAATACGAAAGCCTTTGGTTATCTTGGTTAGTTTAATTTTAAATTTTTTTAACTTATATAGTTATTTATATTATAGTCAACACATTTTCTTTTATTTTATAGAGCTACACACGGGGTAGCCCATCCCCCAACTTTATAGTAGTAGTGGGGTTTGATCCCAGGTCTCAATTAAAATAATTATATATAAATATAGAAGAAAAACAACCTTTTGAGAAGAAATGACTATTTAGAAAGTTGCAAAAAATCAAAAGAAAATAGCAGAAATTAGAGTTCAAGAGGAGAGAAGAAGAAGAAGAAGAAGGTGGCAGCAACTTGGGTTAAGAGAGAGAGATTTTCGAGCATAATCTCTTCTCTTACTCCCTTAATTCTATTTCATTAAGTTAAACTTTAGTAATTTATAGAGAAGCCCCTAGTTAGGTAGAAAATTAAAAAGACATAACATAAGAAAGAATAAATCTCTTCTCTTACTCCCTTAATGCTACTGACGGGTGGTGCGCGCGTCTCGCAGTGCTGTTGCCGTGAGGTGCGTGCTGCTGCCGTACGGTGCATGCTGCTGTCGTGCGGTGCATG